GAAAAACTTGCACTACTACGATCGACGAAGCGAATGAGTGCGTTTTTGGTAAGACACTGCTCCTGTGGCGCTACAGTAGTACTACAAGAGAGCATTCCGACGAGACACCTGCTACTATAGCGCTACCTGAGTACATATTTTAAGAGTTAAGTTTATCTTCAGATTCTTCGTAGCCAATGAAATTATCCGTACAACATCTTATGGCTTCTGCACACAGGACGCGGTAATGCTTGCCGCGCGGCAAAAGTCCGCGCGACAGCCAATCAATATGTTGTTTTTCCATAAGAGCTAGAAGGTTATTTTGGAAAGCAGCATATTGATTGGCTGTCGCGCGGACTTCTGCCGCGCGGCAAGCATTACCGCGTCCTGTGTGCAGAAGCCATAAGATGTTGTACGGATAATTTCATTGGCTACGAAGAATCTGAAGATAAACTTAACTCTTAAAATATGTACTCAGGTAGCGCTATAGTAGCAGGTGTCTCGTCGGAATGCTCTCTTGTAGTACTACTGTAGCGCCACAGGAGCAGTGTCTTACCAAAAACGCACTCATTCGCTTCGTCGATCGTAGTAGTGCAAGTTTTTCGTCGTGCTTGTCAAAAAAATACGGCAGTGTCGCGTTTCTGCGATCGTCGCGTGTGAAATGCATTAGTCGCTTCCGCAGACTTCGTTCGTCGTATCTCGACCAGGTGAGATTGCAATTACAACCCCCTTTCGTCCGTCGTATGCGAGCGCTCGCGAATTTTAAGGTTAGCCACTCGTCAACTTCGTCGTTTTTTCTCACCTTCCATGACGTTTGGTCGTTTACCTAGATTATCCACGCTGCTCATGTTGTCGTTCCGGATAACAACGTCGTTGAAAAATGCTTCGTTTCGATAATGTCACGCGAGTACTCGCGAGTATTCGTAAAAAAATTACCCGCGTGATTTTTGCGACGGACAAGCGCACATAGCGAATCCGTAAGGGCTAACGAGAATAGATTTTGCGAAATTATGCCCGGCATTCATAGTCGAGTTTTATACTTAAGACCCTCTTAAATTCACTTTCAGGCACTTTGTAAGCTATAAAATAATCCGTATAATTATCTAAAAACTAACTTAATAATCATCTAAAGATGAACTTAAGATAGTCTACTGCAATTCTAAACAAAATCGTAAAGCTCGTAACTTGGTCTCATAAGACTCGTAAGAACTTACGAGTAGACGATTGATATTGATGTAAGATACGACTTTACGATTTACTCATATATTTGCTTAGAATTAAATATAAGATTCGTCTATGAATATTGGCCTAGAAGTTTCAGACCGGTCAGTTTTGAAATTCTGCAAATAGCTCGATATACCTGTGTGTATTCACTTGATTCAATTTTACTTTAATCTGACTTTGATGCAATTAAATGTCTAATGCATTAAGTCTGTTCTTCCTCAAGGAACTTCCTTAAGCTAATGCACACTAGTGCAATAAGTTAGAGTGAGACAAATATATTTTGTTTCACTCTAACTTATTGCACTAATTTACACCAGTTCAGGCAGTTTAGTTAAAAGGAGCAGACCTAATGTATCATCATGCATACATACTATTATCTATGCTCTTTACTAACTATGCTATTATTATTGCAGGCTGTGTGACAGTGAATACATAGAGCATGACAGAACCAAAGCCATCAGGATTAAGGCCACCGTCAAAGATTGGCAGGCCATGCTCCACCATGCCGCCCAGACCAGCGATCCCACCTTCTTCACCTAGACCATCGTCCAGTGAGTCTTTTGCAACATGTCCCATTTCCTTTCATGTATTTTTTGCATGTATGTTGTATTTTTACATCTTCTGGTAGTGTTCTGCCTGATTTGTATATTCTTACTAAAGAGGCACCATATTTGATAGTGCCATAGAGAATAGGTGCAAATATTGGTAAAGAGGTATAACATATTTAATAGTGCCATAAACAATAAGCAATAGACAATAGGCAACAGACACAAATATTGGATATTACTGTAAAAAAGTACTATAGAAGAAAAAGAACGTCCAGCATCCGTTTATTGGCTTCTCGTTATGAGAGGAATGTAAGGGACCTTTTTGTGACCGAGCTTTTTAATTGCATTAATAAAGAGGTATAACACATTTAATAGTATCATAAACAATAAGCAATAGGCAACAGGCACAAATATTAGATATTACTGTAAAAAGGTATTACAGAAGAAAAAGAACATCCAGCGTCTGTTTATTGGCTTCTCGTTATGAGAGAAATGTAAGGGACCTTTTTGTGACCGAGCTTTTTAATTGCATTAATAAAGAGGTATAACACATTTAATAGTGCCATAAACAATAAGCAATAGGCAACAGGCACAAATATTAGATATTACTGTAAAAAGGTACCACAGAAGAAAAAAAACGTCCAGCGTCCGTTTATTGGCTTCTCGTTATGAGAGAAATGTAAGGGACCTTTTTGCGACCGAGCTTTTTACATTACCCGCGTCCCCTCTCTTCTTACCGCGGAGACACGGAGACGTGTCATTAATTCGTCTCGCACACGGCGTTATACGCACACAAGAGGGCAGCGTGCACGCCCACGAGCGCGTCGCGAGCGATCGTGAACGAGAGTGCTCTTTTGCGCGCGAGTCGTTCGCGAGTCGTTCCCCGAACGTTCGCGACGACGCATCGGCCGCCAGAAACCGGGTAAATATCTCTCCTTATCTTAGATTGGGGCAAAGAGCCCGTCGCTTTCACCGTTGTCTTCCAAGGGTAAACCGTCCAGAACGCGTTCCGCAAACATTTGCAAAAGAACTTGGGAAATTTAGAGCGAGGATCAAACGATTTTTTATTCACTGTAATCTACAATTATCTATAATTGACTGGACTCGCACAATTAATTAAGAATGCGCCGCGCATCTCAACGATAAATCGAGATGAAAGTAGCTCGGACTAAATTGCGTTCCAAAACGTCCTTTCTGACAAGAATTTCACTGGAAATCTACAGTTTACTCTATATATACCATGGTAGAATTTTTTTCAAGAAGGACGTTTTGTAACAATCTGAGAATATTGTCACATAGAATAATTAATTAAGACAAAGGTACCAATGCCTGAACATTAATAACACTGACACCTAACTCTGAACTCTTTATATCGTTTTGTTCTTTATATATAAATATCTAAACACACTTTCAATACATATTTAAACACTTTCAATACAGAAAAAACATGTATACATATATTCTACGTTGAAAGTTTAAATATTTGTATTTAGTGAAGAGAAATCAAAGAGCAGTAAGAATATCCAGAGTAACCTAAGTATCAGTGTTATTGGTGCCTAGACTCTATCTTGATTCGAAATTAAAAAGAAAGCAGAAGAAATTCGAGGAATCGCCATATCCACAAATTATAGATAATATCCAATTATGTTTTTTTTTCTAAATGCTCCGTTGACTTCATCAACATCTCTTTCATTTCGTTTTCTTCTCCCTTGTTACTTCCCCATACTCTTGTTATTGTTTTTTTCCCCAGTCCGCGGTATTCACGATATCGCATTTACGACTTTATATCACTTTGAGCGCAAAAAGGGCGGGCGAGCTAAAAATAAAACGCAACGTTATCTCGCGGATCTCAATGCATCCTTATGGCGGTCGCGTACAAAGCACGTCCAGGGCATGTATCTTGCCTTATTGGTGCGATGCCATTGCATCGCCTTCCTTGTCCGTGCACAATCGTGTGCGGTGTACGCTCCTCGGCTGACGCATTGCGATTATGCAAGCCGCTGTTTACCTTGCGCCCGCGATTTCATCCGATTTCTCTCTCTCCTCGTGAACTTTTCTCATTCCCTTTATTTTCTTCTCATATATAATCGTCTCCTCGGAGCAATCGAGCGTTCGATCATCTCACAATACGATTGGAAAGACGCAAGCCACTGTGATTCACCCTTCTGGATACGCGACTAATCGTTCGAAATTACCTGCAACTTTCTCTGTCTCTCTCTCTTTCTCTCCCTGTCTCACCCTGTGTCTCCCTGTTTCTCCCTGTTTCTCCCTGTTTCTCCCTGTCGTGCGTAATCACGCGTATTCTCAGTCGTAGAGTTTAACTATGATTACCTGACTCTTTGTTGTTCGTCAACGTCGCAAATGTTATCAAAAGATAAAAAGTTGTCAGCGGCGCCTTGCACTGACGTAATCGGCATGGTGTTTTGTAACTGTGACACCATCGGCTAAATATGGAGAGATAAGCGGCTTTCTGAACGGTGAACAACGAGTTATGCTCATTTCGGGCGACTTCGCGCGCTTTATACGAAGTGTCCACCGGAGCCGGTTTTAAGGTCACCCATTCGATTTTTTATACACCGACGTGCGTAGAACGACAGAGAGGAAGGGAAGAGGAGAGAATGACAGAGAACCTGTTATTAATTCCCGGTAAATATTAAAACAGCAAGCGGTGAAAGATATCGCAGTGGCACGTGGAGCGACACGACGTCGTTCGTTCACTCTCGGGATTATTCTCCGGCCGTTTTAAATGGGCCTCAAACGAAGCCACTTTCGTGAAGAGTCGAACGTATCGCCAATTAGCGCGAAATAATGATTAGCGACGAGACGGAGAGACGTTCGTGGTCACGTTCGAGATTACGTCATAATCTCGTTACATCGCGAGACGAGAATTGCAGGTCGGCCGACGATGATGACGCGCCTCTCTATAGTTACACTATTAACCTTGTTTACGTGCGAGATATCCACAGTCGAAGGAACGAAGTGCCCGTATTCGATGACCACTTCTGCGGATTATATTACCGTATCGAGTGTGGTCAGAGCACTTGACACCCCGTTAACGCACGGAAAAAAAGAATTTGCAGCAAACTAATTTGCTACGTATAGACAGTTAAACATAATTCGCTACGTTAGCTATTTTTTCTTTGCTGCAGGCCTATTTCCTTGCTATGATAACAAGAAAATCTGCTCCTATAGCAAGAAAAGTGGCTAACACAGCAAATTTGCTACAGATGGACAATTAACCCTTAATGTCGTGGGTCCACCGGGCCCTCACAAAATCTTTAAATGCGCATATATAGAGCTGTATACGCTGCAGCTCCCCGTTTATTTTAAAAATTATTTTCAGTTACTATTGTTGATTTTGATTAGAAATAAGTAAATATATGTTCAAACATTTAAAATGAAAACTAAAAACCTATAAAACACTACGAATTTTTATTTTATTAGCCTTTGAACTGATTAGGGTTCACTGGATCCACGACGTTAGATGCGTTACAGTTTTTCACGACATAAGTTAAGGGTTAAACATAATTTATTGCTTTAGCTACTTTTTTCTTGCAGATTTTCTTGTTATCACAGCAAGGAAATTGATTCCTGCAGCAAAGAAAAAGTGTCTAACACAGCAAATTATGTTTAGTTGTCCATATGTAGCAAATCTTTTTTTTCCGTGCGCGAATCCAGACCTCAGCCGGATGAAGAATAAGAAATATTTGAAATGTCACTGATTCGGGAGATGAAGCATCGATATCAGATAAAAGTATTATCATTACACGTGTATCCGACGCGCATAATTAACGGGCAGCCGCGCGAATCGCGGCGTCACGATTGTTCGCGCCGACGTTCGTCGGGAGACACGTTGATCGCGGCTTAACACGCTCGAATTAAAAAGCACAGTGTGTTCTGTCATCGGAAATCATTCGACGCATACATTACGCGTCGCGCGCGGCCCGCAATCGCGGATCGTCATCGCGTTTCGCACGGATTTGCGCAGCGGCGAAAATCACGCGGAATGTCGCCAAACGAACGAGTCTCGTTTCGACACGCATACACGCAAAAAAGAACTAGCTTCCAGAGCTGAAAAATAGCTGTGGCAGATAAGATGTGTCACTGAAATAGGGACAGCTAATGTCGATACTACCGAAGCTAAATTTATTCGCTATTAAACTTAGGCGCTACAGCGAGGAATATTAGCTGCTAGAAATAAATGACTGTGACAAATGATTGTAGCTGTACGGCAAACTTTTTTAATATGTGCATACGATAAGAAATTTAGGAATAACTGCCATTTTCTTAGCTACTTGAAATAATGTGCATTTTTAATGTCACCTATATATTTGTATTTCATAGCGAATGCATCTTCTTAACAGTGACAGCTAAACGATTAGCCTTTTGATTAAGTTTGAATCAGCTACCGCGGTTTAGCTGATATTACTAAATCATTTTTTTGCATGTATATCCCTCGGTGAAGTTTCGCAATTAATGTTTCCCTCGACTCCCGTGACATGCTTGGTCGGAATTCAGAAAAAATGTTTCTTAGATATATATTTTCTCTAATAATTTTTATTTTATTTTCTGTTATTGCACTAAAAAAAATATTAAAAAATTTCTATACGGAAAAAAGATATGGACAACTAAATATAATTTGCTGTTAGCCACTTTTTCTTTGCTGCAGGAACCAATTTCTTTGCTAAGATAACAAGAAAATCTGCAACAAAAAAGTAGCTAAAGCAGTAAATTATGTTTAGTTGTCCATTTAACAAATTTGCTGCGTTAGCCACTTGTCTTGCTGTACGAGCACATTTTCTTGTTATCATAGCAAAGAAATGGATTCCTGCAGCAAAGAAAAAGTAGCTAATTAGAACAAATTACAGCGAATTATGTTTAATTGCCCATATATAGCAAATTAGTTTGCTGCTGCAGCAAATCCTTTTAAAATTTACTTTTTTCAGATAAAGTTTATTTTTGCGAAATAATATTTATTTCTTTGTAAAAAATTAATTCTCATTCCACACGCGCAAATAAATTTTCAAATATTCTTTTTTCCGTATACTATTGTTATCGCATTACGCGCAACTATTCCGTGATCGTGGGAAGCCGCGAGGTTGCGATCGGTTGATTTGTCGGCCGCCTGGTCGCTTGTTATTAAAAGCGATCGCGTCGCGCGCATAAAACGGAGGCGCATTAGTGCAGATCGCGTCGCGTGATAAAGTCGGCCACGGAGACGCGCTCGTACAATGTGCCGCTCGCGTTTGCGGCCGCGTAATCGCGATTTCATCTCCGCGAACAGAAATTCCGACCCACGCGACCGACCTACTGCGATCGCCGCCACCGCCGCCTCCTCCTACTCGCATTCCCATAAATAATTAATTAAGTCGCAAATCGCAGTACTCCCGAACACGTGCGACTCCTTTTGCGGAGTTTTTTCGCGAAAACACCCGACGACGTGGGACAGCAATCGATGACAAACCGTGTCTCTCCTCTTTTCTTTTTCCTTCTAATTTGTTTTCTACGTTGCTCGTTGCCTGCGCCGACGCGCTCATTAGCGCAATTAAGCTTCGAAGGAGCCACGATCGTCCGTCCGTCCGCCTCTCGCATGATTGAGCTAGAAATCGCTCGGATCTTATCGGCGTCATCTGAACACACCCTCTGACGCCATTAATGACTCGTTTACATAACTCCCTGTCTTGAGCCGATTGTGATCGACTTCCGATGGCGATTATCGCAACGGCAATTACAGAACCAAGCCCCGATCCGTTTCACGCCAAACGCCGGCTCTCTCGCTCGCGTCTCTCTTAACGGCCCTGTAATAATTGCTCATTCACTTGGTTATAATCAACTTCGCGCTCTCCCGACGACGACACTTACATTCGCGAATTCATTATCAGCACTGCACAGAAATGCGCATTTGCAACAGAAATACGCGAGATGACGCACAGATCGTCACGCTGCAAGTTGAATTGGCAAGGATTCTCGGGAGCCGAGTTGTGAAAATATTAATTAAATATTTATTAAATTTCTCTCAATTAAATATTAATTAAACTTCTCTCAATTTAATAATTGATGAGAACAAGTATGTTCCAACTCAACTAATTAAGACGATTAATTCAAGCAAAATCAACTGAAGAATGTTTCATCGACGATTGATCTCAACGAATTTCAATGAAAGACCGTTCAAATTGTCAATTAAATGGTCATTGAATTGACCTATGTTAATCGATTGAGCACGATAATTAATTAAAAAGATGATTACTTGCAATCCTGCTCTCGGGTTGCGAAATGTCGTAAACGATGGCCCCTCGAGCACGGCGAGCAATACGTATCTCGCGAGGAAGCATGCTCGGATTTGTCCCGTTGGTTTGTTTGTATGTTCTCGCTATGATTTGCATTATTTTGCATGACAACGGCAGATCAGATGGAGCCTCTCTGGGAATCGCACGGCCGTCAAGTAAACGAGGCTGGTTTGCGAAGAGGATCAGGTAAGCGTGGCATTTAATAGTCGTTACTCGAAACTCCTCTCGAGTGAGATACTCAGATTTGAGTTCGGAGTCAAACGAAAGTTCCCCAGTTGAATCGCGACCGCAGATATAATGTATTATATAATTCAACTGAAAAATTTTGATCTAACTCTGAATAAAAATCCGAGTATCTCACATGAGACTAGTTCCAAGTGACAATTATTGACAATTGGATCCCGTAACTGAAACTCTTGGAACAACGAGTTGAGCATGATATTGTATGATACAAATGTCATGTATAATACAAATGTCGACAAGTGCCTCTCTGCTTCTGTCGCGAGCGTCGCGCGCGGTTGTTGTCGTCTATCTTAAGGGAGCGCTTTCACTTCGCGTTGGATCATAATATTGTAGTGTGTAGCAGTACGTGTGTAGTGTGTAGTAACGTATAATGTGTAATGTGGCAGTGGTACATGGTAGTAGCGACGTGTAACGACACCGAACATAACGTGCTCGCGAATAGATACGCGGTGTGTATGTATGTGTGTATGTCGGGACAGTATATTCTCGCGTGATTAATATATAATCGCGCCGTTTATCTCGAAAATAATTCGCTCCGTTTCCGCGACGAGCTCGCCCCGAACCGGGCGATATCGGTCGTCGATGGCTCGACCACGTCTCACGGTGAATCCTGTTCGATCCCGCGCAGATACTAGCGTCGTACTGACCGAGGACACAGACAGCTTTAAGATAGGAGACCGGGTATGGGTCGGCGGCACGAAACCCGGCACGATCGCCTACATCGGCGAAACCAAGTTCGCACCTGGCGACTGGGCAGGAGTCGTCCTGGACGAGCCCATCGGTAAGGAACCCACCCGGGAACCGTCCCGACGATCTTGACCGATCTGACAAGGAGCCTCTTATCTTGGTTTGTACAACAAGTTAATACAAATCTTCGAAATCAGTAAAGATTGATAGCATTGAAAATTAAAGAAGAAATCAAAAACATATCAAGTCACAGGTTTCAAGAAATTTGAAATATTTTTGGGACCATACATTCTTGTTTTTGTTATTTATATCTTTTTATTTATAAATATGAAATATATATAATATATACATATATATTTTTTTTCAAATGCAATTAGATGATCATTTATGTCCGACTCGGCCCCAACTAATAGATCTTCATATTTGGAAAGAAACGAAAACAAATAAATAAAAAAATATATAATATGTATGTTTTATATTTATAAATAGCAAAAATAAATAAAACGAAAATAAAGCGAAAGCAAAAAAAGTGTGGCAATTCCTTCATGCCTCTAAAAATAAAATTCTAAACTTTTTGGAACCTATGATCTTAGATTTTGCTTTCTTCTTTAATTTATTTTTAATGCTGTCAATGTTTACTGATTTCAAAGATTTTGACCTTAACTTGTTGCGCAAACCGAGATGGCCCCTTGTGAGGGAGGGAGTTCTGCGGCGACAGTACTCGGCAGAGCAGCCACAGCGTGGCCGAACAATAGTTCGGAGGAAGTGAATTAGGCACGAACTTGAACTTCAGGGAAGAACGATGGCTCGGTGGCTGGTAGTCGGTACTTCCAGTGTGAGCCGAAAAGAGGGATCTTCTCGAGGCTCACCAGACTCACGAGGACGCCGCTGAGCGACCAGCTCATCTCGCCGAGGACGCCGACCACGCCGCCCGACAGCACCCGTAGCCTCCTCAGCAAGTCCATGTCGCCGTCTCTGAGTAAGGATCGCTGCAAGAGATACTCGCCACGTCCGTAGATCTCTCAGTTTGCGCGCTGCACGCACGCCATTCGTCGTCCACGAGTTTTCATTTAGTTTTCTCGGCGTCCCCTTAACCCTTTCGCTCCTCTCTTCTTCTCTCGTTCCTCCCTTTCGCTGGTACATGACGACTCGGGAAATCCCCTTCAGATACAATCATCTCGACGACGTCGTCGTATCAAGAGCGACTTGATCGAGACGTTATGTTCTATTTGAAAAATTACAATTTTCTTTCATTTTTCATCGAGTCAGCCAATAATATGTGAGCTTTTGCGATACATTTGTCGGGAATCAAACGCTTCTTTCTCGATATTGCTCGACAGGGAAAGTGTTGATGAAAGGGTTAATGGTAACCGACCGTTGCTGTATGTATGTTAGATGCTTATCGAGCAGCGATAGCGATAATTTACTTCAATTATGGCATCGCGATAGCGCTTGGAGAACACGCTAGCCGCCCGCCGAAGTAGAGATCCACGCGACCCGATGCGAAAGGGCGACGAAGTAATTCAGTTTTCGGTCGGCATGCAGCACGTGAGAGTAATTCCGTTTTCCGGCGGAATTCCGAGATGAAGCTGCGGCGTAGCTCGGTGTGTGCCGAGGTAGTGAACTAATTCCACGGGTAATTAACGGGTTTCGTTAATAAGAAAGAATAAACGTCGAGAATAAATATACGTACTCACGCACAAAGATAGATACATCGAGTAAATATATTGTCTAGAGACTCGCGAAGAACGCGAGTCACTTCGCGGTAGCGCAGGTGGGCGAATGACACCACCAGATGTAGTAGAAACGCCCGAGAAGTAACGTAGCTTCGTCGTCGCGTGGAGCACAGATAGAGAGAGAAAGAGAAAGATAGTTCCGATGCTCTGAGCGAGTAGCTCCGCATGCTCTCGGCTTTTCGTATCGAACCGTCATACTGATCGTGCTGTCCGCGCTGAAAACTGTGAACGCAGACGCATCCACGACTAGCCTGTCATCGACGGTGTCGCAGAGGACTGACCTGAAGATAGGCGACCGGGTGATAGTCTCGTCAAGCCAGGGCAGCAAAACCGGCGTGCTCAGGTACCTGGGCACCACGGAATTCGCCCCGGGCGAATGGTGCGGCGTGGAGTTGGACGAGCCGGTCGGCAAGAACGACGGCTCCGTCAACGACAAAAGGTGTGCATCCCCCCGCGTGGCCCTTCTGCCTCGAAAGCTCGTCCCGCGCTTCCCTGTCAAACACCCGCGATGATCGTTTAATGCAATCGCGCGCTTCCAGAAGCAACTATAATATTCAGTTAGATCGGTCTCAGCGTGGTACCCAATCGAATGAATACTTCTTCTTTGGATATTCTTCTCTCAGTGTAAAGATCGTTCGAGGAGAGACCTTGTTTCTTCTTCAGCGACAACGCTCGTTCCAAGGGAGCCATATCAGGGTGACCATCAGTTCGCGAAATTAGATCTGCGAGTCGAGCAGATTTCGCGTCTCCCTCGTAGCTCGCGTGCAGGGCGACGCCTAGACGTTTCAAGAATTCGCCCTGCCTCGGCTCAGCCGCGGCTCGATAAACGCCCCGAGCGGTCGGGATGCGTCGCGACATAGCTTGCATGACTGGCCCCTCGCAATTCGCAATCCCGGCGGGAATTCGCGTCCCCGCGAGGACGAGCGCGCGCGGCCGAGAGAGGCGTCGCGGAACTAACCCACCCGTTGATCCAGATACTTCGAGTGCTCGCCCAAGTACGGCCTGTTCGCGCCCGTGCACAAGGTCAGCAGGTCGCCGTCCAACAAGCGGCAGTCCATGTGCGTGGTGCACAAGCCGACCGGCGCCGCCCTCAACGCCAATCTGAAGAGGAGCGGCTCGCGCGAGTCGCTCGCCTCCCTCACGTCGAGCGTCGCCAGCAACATCGCCGTGAGGACGACCGCCAGCAGCACCGCGAGCGGTACCACCTCGAGGGTAAGGTTCACCATGCCGGAGTGAGGCAGAGGACGTCCGTCTTTCGCTCGCCACCCTCCCCCAATCTACCCAATCTACCCTCTGTCCTCGCGTTTGCTAGTTGTTATCTTGTGTTAGCTGTGTGTAGACCTTGTTGTTGTTGTTCTCCTCTTCGTGGAAGTTGGTGCTGGCGACCCGTTGACCCTCGAGGTCTCCTCACTGCGCGAGGATCGTCGCGACGGAGACCCGATCTCGCTCGATTTTTCTCCCCGAGAAGCGGGAACCAGAAGGGATATTTCACGTGTGCATGTCTCGCGCATGTCTCTGAGGTGACTGCGTGAGTCGTGAACTCGATATCCCTTCTCGCTGGCGACTTCGTGTTCTTCTCTTCTCGCTCGTCTCCCTCGAGGGTCAACGTCGCCGTGAATTAACAGTAATCGCCCGCAGCTTCCCTTAGGCAGCCCGTTCCGTTCCGTCCAATTAGCGAGGTAAACATTGTAATAACTTCGTTTGAATTGCGCGATTGCGTTGTCGGATCACTCTGCGCGTGATCACGCGCCTGACGATTAGCGCTGTGCTGGTCGCATCGTTTCTCCCTTTCTTTTCATGAAGGTTGCTGTTGCAAAGTCTCTGCATGATCCCTCACCCACTTTTCGTATGCCTCTTTTGATTTCTTTTTGTTTCATCCATTGCATCCGACATTCCAGAAGCCTGGCATGCGCACGCCGATACCTGCACGAGGTTCACTGCAGGTGAGACCGTAATAACAATAATAATAATAATAATAATATAATAATAATATCTGCCGAGATTGACTCGTTAACGCGGCCGATCAAGAAGCGATCGCCGATCGAAACAGACCCCTCCCCCGCCCCCGATTTCCCCTCTTCTCCTCCGCAGCCTCTTCACGTCTCGCCCGCGGTTGTCCTCGTGAAACATGAGAAGCATCCCGCCGTAGAACGTAGACGTAGATTGACTAAACGTGCTGATCGCGTGAACGTAGTGGCACGTTAATTAGTATGTGTAATCAGCGTGGCTCGTGCGAGAACGCGATCTCTCGCGATCGCCACTTGCGTTTTATTTATTTATTCGCTGCGTCATAATTTATTGTTCGCCGGAGCTTGTAATGTTGTTGTAGTATATATATATATATATATATATATATATAGTGTCGACTTATGTGTATATAATGTTAATAAAATCCTAAGGTCCTTTCTTTCTCTCTTTCTCCTCGTGATCTCGTTTGTTAACGTAGCGTCTAGGTGGGTATTTTTTTCTGTGTCGGCATTTCTTGTCTTTTTATTTATTTATTTATTTATTTTTCACATATATATATTATATATAAATTAATGTACATATATATTTTATATATCATATATAAAATATATATATTTATTACATATATTGGATTATGTATAACAAGTAATTGCGGGCGAATTTTTTAGACGTAGCAAAATAATCGTATGTTTATGTCGTTATAATCTTACGAAACAATGTGAGGAATGGCAGAAAATCATAGAAAGGCATTGTTCCATAAAGTTATAAACGGCGCAAAAGTACAACTGTTCCGTGGCTTCTCTGAAAAACACTCGCAATTACGTGCTACGCAAGCCAATGTAATGATGAACGGACGAACAATCGGATGCAACGAGCTCGTGATGTCGGAGAATTACTTATTTGACGCATGCGCGCATGCAAAATGACAGATTTTGCCACAACGCAAATATAATTGTTCCTCCTGTGTTTCGCGAAATCGCGTGAGAATGATGTATCCCGCGTTTCTCGATGAGTTTACATCTCGAGGATCTCTCTTAGGCTTCTTTCCTCGAGGGCTAATTTGCATGCGTCGGCGGCGAAACGACGACCAACATCACCGAGCCGATCAATCAAACTATCGTCAGCTGGATAATAATGCGATGCGAAGTGTCGGCTGCGCGATTTGCGTTGCTAATCGCGCGTTGTTAGAACGATCCAGATATAACGTCGCCTCTGCGCGCCTTACGTATTCATCTCGCATCGATTAAAAGCTGGTCGACGACGCAATCGCTCGGCGGCGACTGAGCTGTTGCATAATGGAATTATTGCTCGCTGCGCGAGTAAACAATCGACCGGCGGACTCGATCTCGATCGGCTGCGCGGACGATGACGCTTTAATTTTCCGCCCCCTTCTGCAACCTGCGTTGATATCTCTAACTTTAATTCTAGTAACACATTTCACTGGCCCAATATTGGTTACATTGGCATACATTGGACCGATACAGCCAATATATAGCCAATATTGCTTATAAATAAAATGTGAATATTCATGTGATTGTCAATATTCAGAATTCTATATTGACTACAAAATGCAAAGTGTCTACAATATTGGGCCAATATTGGATATATTGGGGCCCAATTTGTAGCTAATATTGCCGCAATGAACTGTGCTACTAGGAAATACTCGAATGAGAGATTAACGAGCTCTTTAACGTTAATTTCGTAAAAAATTCATGCAACGAGAATCACTTTGCTCGCTCGATCTTTCGTCTGAGATCCCTCTCAGAAGCATCGTAAGCTCTCTCGTGATCTCGTGTTAGAACCTGGCTCGTGCTTTTAGGAGGTTTTGAAGGAGAAGCAACAGGAGATAGATTTCCTGCGGAAGGAGCGAGACCTGGAGCGCGAAAGGGTCACGAAAGCGGCGAATCAGGCTGATCAAGCAGAACAATCGGCATTGTCGATCAAGCAGGAATATGAAAAGGCAAGTGAACATCTCCGTCGTATCGCGAGTTCTCTTTTTCCAACAAGAACGAAAACTCGCGTTTGCGAATATTAAAGTGTTAACGTGAAAAGTGACAAGCGCCCTCTAGCTTGTCCTAAACTTTGGACTTTCAAACATCGTGAAATCACGCGCTTGCTAAAGCGACTTGCCGATTGAATTCCGTAACATTTTCTTCCGCCCTCGAGAATTCGAGAATTTTCCCTCTGTCCTGCTTCTTATTTTTCATTATTGATGTCCAGTATCGCGAGGAGATGCAGCAAACGATCAACGAAGCGGAGACCACCGTCACCAAGCTCCTCGGCGAAAAGAACGCGTTGGTGGTGCAGCTGGAGGAGGAGAAGCGGAAATGCGAGGACCTTCTGTTTCGTTTCGAAGAGGAGTCCGTGAATAAGGACGACATACAGGTACGTGTATCAACCGTGCCGCATTCGAGCGCGCAATCGCTTGCCAAAGACGATAAATGGCGATAAAAGTATAACACTCGGAAAGAATGCGAGCGGTAAGTACGTCTGTCTGCGAATTTGTGGAACCTGTCATTTCGGGGAAAAAACATCTCACAGGACGTGTGTCTTCCGGGTATACGCAATATCCAAATGTTCGATTTTAGTTATCTTATTCTGGTCTTTGCCCAGAAACACGCACCTAAGATTCTCAAGTTAAGCGTAAGTCTTCTAATCAAGATCTCGTGTGACACAATCGCTCGGCAAGTATCGTATCATGCTTTCGACGCGAAATTCGATTACACGCACGCGGGGAATAAAGGTGGCGGGTAATAAGTAAGTTGCAATCAGGGTTGCGAGTAAACAATCACTTTTTTAATTAATTATCGTATTTAATTGACGATTAATATTCCAGCCAGTTCAAGCCAGTTTAATTGACAATTGTTTTCAACAAATTCAATCGAAAACCGTTTGATTGACGATTGGTGTCAACGAACTCAATTAACCCTTTCAGGACGGGAGATAATTGCTCGGGGAGATAATTATAGGGAAGTACGTATTCTATAGGTTTTTGAGGTCGTTCAATCCGAATCTGAACTTAGATTTTTTTAATTCTGTGATCCAAGATGGCGGACCTAATGTGGCGGAAAAATTGATAAGTAATATAAATATCATTCAATTCCCGTGAAATTTGAACTATGAAACTTTTTAAAGATACTTTTTTTATTTAGAGAGTGAAATTCTACGGAAATTGAGTCATATTTACATAATTTGGCATCTTGAAAATCGCCATATTTGATCCGCCATTTTGAATTTTACATTTTTTACTTTTGGAAAGAGCACCTTAAAAAAACTCCTACATACCAATTTTTGTGAATATCGGATCGATAGTTTCTGAAATACATGCATGAAGATCGTAGAACATCAAAAGATGTCTCCCGTCCTGAAAAGGTTAAGAACCGTTCAATTGACGACTGATTAATTAAATTCTTGATTTAATATCTTTAATTAAATTTGCTAAGTTTTATTGAATGTTCTTTGATTCCGATCGCTCGAGTCGTCAATTGAACGGTCTTTAATTGAAAATTCGTTGAAATCAACCTGCAATTAACTATTCGATTGGCCATGCTTGAATCGATCATTAACTAGTTGAATTGAAACATATTTGTTCAAATCAATGATTTAATCGAGAAAAATTTAACCAGTGTTTTCACTACTCTGGTTGCAACATGCGCTTGGCTGTACATCTCGTTTCGACGATCTTTCGCAGAAAGCATCTTCGCGCGCGTGATTTCCCGGCAAATCGATGCTCTCGTAACGTCGGAGCTTGCACTCGGCGGGATTGCGTTCGATCTTCCGAATTCTAACGCTCATCGAGCCCTGCTCGAGTGAGATCGGGACGAAAGTGGAAATTTTTAGGGAGAGAGAGGAGAGCGCAGTTCAGTTCCCTCGGTTAATCTGGCCAACTTATCGTTTATTTTCAGAAAGAGCGATCTGAGCAATGTGTGAGTATCCGAAGGTTTGGGCCCGTGGAAGGATTGACGCAGTATTTCGGCACCGCTTGCCTAGTCATCACTCTAGCCATGTCGTTTTGTATTTCGTCGCAGTTCTATCAGAGAGCCGCCTGACGCGTACTAAAACGCGCGGCACGCTAACTTCGCTGTCCGCACTAACTTTGCCGGCCGCAAAGCCAACTAACGCTAAATTCCGTTGAATATTCGCTTTATCGAAATTCCCCGGGACGATCACGGCCTGTTAGTCGTCTCGGGCCGGGTAAACGTCGAGTATTTCTCAATTCCGATGTGTAGAAGTTTCGTTAAAGTTATTCAATTACGCGTTTTGGTTACTCTGCGACCTCAAGTTGCACACAGAATCACGTTTGAATTAACAATGTCTATTTGAAACGCTTTGCTCTTTATTGCGTAATGAAAAGAAGTATGCTTTGTATGTATTGTACACACACAAGGATATGTTGATATCATTGTGATACGCTCGTTTGTTGTTATTTATTTATTATTTATTTATTTATTTATATACGCATTGTATTCTCTTCGTCGATTCCTTTGTTTGAAATTATTCGTTTGTTTCTTTTTGAACTTGTTCGTTCCCACGCGATTATTATTCTCACATTATTTATTTGCTGTATGCGTTTATATCGTTTGTACACAGTCGAGCGTTGAAATTGAATAATATACTTGTTACAAATTGGGCACGCGTGTAACTTCCTTTCTTTTAATTCTCTTTTCTCTTATTCATTGTCCGATTGAACTTGTCCGTCTCGCACAAGTCGTACAATTCAAAGAATAATCGCGGGCTTCGCGGTATATCTCGTTGTGTGCTGCTTATCTCTTTAATGTACGGTTTCAAGTGTTAATACACCGTTGTCGTCGTGATTATTGAAAGTGTGTCGTTTTGATATTGCGAGACTTACGCTTGGATCGCTCGACGAGCTCGTTTAAGCAAGACGACCTTTGAGAGAGGCGTCATTTTAATTTTTTCTTAATGTTTAGTTGTACATTAACGCTTGAAACGGACATGCCGTACACGATCTCGTACCGACCCACCGACTAAACGGTTGCCCCCTTATCACTAGGTCATAAATACTGTAAATGAAAGCAGGATCAGGGAACTCGAGAAAGAACTCTCGGAGGAACGGGAACGCGACAATATCAAGCTCTTCGAAGCCGAAGAGGAGTTGGCTCGGCTTCGTAACGAGATCAGCAGCGTGACAAGCTCGCAGAACTCTCAGCTACAAGGTACCTGAACTAGATCTACCGCTAGAGCAGGCTGAGTAAGTTCTAGACGAGATGTAGTAGACTAGGCACAGTTTCCAAGTGGACTACCAAATTTACGAGTGGCGTAAATAGTATTTTTTCTAAAATTGCGATATCGAATTTCAATTATTTTGTAGTATTCAAAAGTACGGATGATAAATTTAAACGTTATTCTTTTTTTTACTTGCCTTCCCTTGAAAGCCAATCTTAACCAGGACGTGTTTTCAGATCTGCAGAGCCGCAATCAAAGCCTGGAAGAAATAAAAGGCAGTCTCGAGTTGGAACTGCAAGAGAAATCGAGCCTTATGGACGAGTGCGTGGGGCGCATCAAGGAATTGGAAGTCGTACTGAATGAAGCGCAACGAGAAACGACGACGCACAAAGAGTCTGGGGTTCGTCTAGGGAAAGAATTGGAAGCCGCCAGGCAAAGCTTGCAAGATAAGGAGACACTGTTGGGAAATATGAAACTTGAGTTCGAGAGGAACACAAGCTCGTTGAGCGAGGAGCTGCGAAAATCGAAGGAGACGATCGAGAGGATTGAACGAGAGAGCGTGAGTGAGAAGGACTCGTTGTTATCCGAGTACCGACGTACGATCGAGGAGAAAGATCGGTTGATAAAGGTAAAGACCGAGGAGCTGGAGAACGAGTCCAAGAGGCTGTTAGAGCAGCGGAACGCTCTGGAGGGCCTGAAGGCCGAGAACGTTAAGTGTATGCGTGAACTTTCAGAATCGTTCAATCAACAGCTGCACGCGAAGGACTCGAAAATCGAGGAGGTCTCGTCGCAACTTAACCAGAAAGCGTCCGAGACCGAGAGACTGTTGAGCGAATTGTCCGCGCAACGGGAGCTCTGTGAAAAGAAGGACGAAGAATTACTCAACGCTCTGCGAAAGTTGGAAGGTTCGTTTCATGGGAATAGAATTATGTGGAAAAATTGTAAAAAAAAAAAGAGGAAATTATTGTGTAATATTTCGAAAACTTTTATCTTGTATACGAGATTTTTATATCTGAAGTCTCGCGCGAAGAGACCGTGACAGAACTTTCACAGATTTTGTCATTGTGCAGAATTAAGCGCGAAGCTGAAACTAGCTGAGGAAAGTAACAACGCTCTTTTGAAACAGATCCAAGACTACAAGTCCAAGAGCGACGACAATGTTAGAATTATTCAGGAAAAACAGAAGCTGGTAAGCATTTTTTTTCCGCCTCTCCTTGCGCGCGCGGATGTAATATTCGCGATTTTATCTTCTTGTCTGCTGTCGTGACTTCAGGAGCAAGATCTGGCCAGCCTGGTTGCCTCGGAAGAGATGTCCACTGCACAGCTAAACAAATTGAGCGAGGAGCTGAAAGTTAAGGACAAAGAGCTCGTGGAACTGCGTAACGCTACTAAGGTGCAAATACAAGAGATAACTAAACGCTTCGAATCCCAGATTAACGACAAAGTCAAGTACATCGACGAGATAAATGCGGACGTTGCACAGAAGGCTCTGATGCTCGCCAAGCTGGAGAAAGATATCGCCGATCTGAAAGCGATTATCGCGAGCAAGGACGAAGAGATAAAGCATCTGCTCGAGAAGACGTCAGGTAAAACTCAAACGTGAATTATATTTTATAAGATTAATTGTGCGTTCATTCAGACCTAACGCGGTGCTCGTTGTGTTCATTAGAGTTACAAGACGTTCTCACGTTGTCCGAGCAAACGAAAACGAATTTGGAGAGCGAGCTTCGCGTGTTCGAATCCAATGCGCAAAGTCTGAATCAGCAGGTCGCGAGGGCGGAAGAGAAAATTTCGCAACTCTTGTCGCAGAAGGAAAAACTAGTCAGTACAAAAATTATTCAGCTTTCTAGCCCCTCAGATTCTGATTTTGACGTTACTCTCTCGTTACATTTTCACTTTCCATTCTCATCAGATGCAAAATAATAATTTAGAATATTTTTACCGGTACGTGGACAGGAGTCTGACATAGCCACTGCAATCAACAGTTCTGCCGACTCGTCGGAGCAGCTCTCCAAATATAACGAGGATCTGCGGCAGAGGGAGAAGGAGCTGGACGAAGCTCGCGAGAAGATCTTTCAAACGGAGAATACGTTGAAACTGACGCAAGGAAAACTATCGAACGCCGAGATAGAAGTAAATAAGGGCGCAGCGTTGGTGGAACAATTGCGCTCTGAAAAATTGAGTTTGGAGTTACAGATAAGTGATGCGAAGAAAGCGAACGCCGACTATGCCGAGAAGATTCGCGAGCTCGAGCGAAGGGAGAGTGAATTGTCGACAAAGGTTGGCGAAGGCGAATGCGTCAAGGAAAGTTTGGCGGAAAGGTCTCGCGAGGTCGCCAGCCTTTCGGAAAGGTTGACGCGCAGCGAAGAAGAAGTCACTGCTCTTCATGGTCAATGCAAAACCTTACAAAGATTTCACGAGGGAGAGGCATCCTCGCTGCAAACAGAAGTCGCCCGCTTGTCGATCGAATTATCGACGTGTCAGGATGAAATAAAGAATCTGCAGAAGCTGAAGAACAAGCTGGAGGCTGATCAAAGCGCCAGTCGATGGACGATCGAGGAACTGACGGAAAAATTAAACGTCGAGACTGAGAATATGATCAAATTAGAGGATTTAATTCGAAACAAGGACTCCATGCTCCAGGATGCGGAAAATAAACTGTTAGAATTGCAGGGGGTGAACGAAGCTTTAGCTACCGATAAGGAAGCATCCAATAAGAATTTAACCGCGTCATTAAACAGCGTGTCTAGAACGGTAGAGGAGTTTAAAAGTAAGTTAAAGAACGCCGAAGAGACGATTGAAGACAAGTCGAACGAGGCGTCGAGGGCGGGAGCGGAAGTAGAAAAATGTCACGCACAAATAGCCGAATTGAACGCTACACTTTCCTCCGTACGAGAGGAGCAAACGCGCAGCAATAACGAACTGAAGAATGCACAAGAAGCGATTACGCAGCAACGAAGCATGGTAGAAGAATTGACTAAAGCTAAGGCAACTTTAGAAAATTCTACGAAGTCTTTGGAGACGCAGCTGTCGAGTGTACAGGAGGAACTGCTGAAGAAGGACAAACTGCTGATGGAAACGGAAGTTAAAACGAGGGAATCTGACACTTCCAAAGCGGAAGAGATGTTGAAGCTACAGAACACATTGGAATCCGAGACAGCGGCGCGACGAAAGGAGATTGAAGAAATAGGCAAACGGAACAAGGAACTTGAAGAGAAGCTACGACGATCGCAAGATATTCTCGACAAGCAGACAGTCGACCGAAGTGAGAAGGATACCACTATCGGCGAACTGCGAGCGCAGGTGAAGACTCTAGAAGACGCACAGGTAGAGAGGGCGAAGGCAGAGCAGCAGTCGCGCAACGAAGAGATCAAGCAGAAACAGAACGAGTTGAGCGGCGCGAACAAGCGTATCAACGAGCTACAAAGTACAGTGTACGCCTTGGAGAAAAGACTGAGGGAGCAAGAGACTAAGTCAGCGGACCTGGCGAAAACCATGGAGTGTAACGAGCAGGAGGTAGGCAAGAACGTGCAAAACCTCATAGAAAAGCTGAACGTAGCCAAAGTGGAGGAGACGCGACTCTTAGACGAGTTAAGTCGGCTGTGAGTATATTTATATCTTGAGTATGCTGGATATAGAAATAGTGTCATCGAAAGAAATTAATGTATTAGTCATTTTTGTCGATTATATCTTTTTTATTCAAGACCCACGTACTTTACAGGGAAAAGGAAAATAAGCAAGTGACTGCAAAGTGGGTAGATGCGACAAATCAGTTGAAACTGACGCATGAAAATATGAAAAATACTTTTGACGTGAGTCTTTAATTTTTTTGAATTAATATGGAAACAACTATCTACCCTGCTATCTTTAATTTATTGTTTGATATTACTTTCATTGATTAACAGCAGTACATACAGTCATAAAGAACTGCACACACATACATATTTGTTATATATAATAAAGTAATTTGTGCATTCTAGGCAACAGGAGACATAAAACAATGTATCGGTACGTCATCCACAATTATCGCAAAAATAAAAACTGACAGCGATGGCGATTCAACATCGATTTATCTGTTTCAGTTACGAAAGACGTTGACGTTGCGAAACTACAGGAGGACAACGACACCGCTAAAAGTCAAATAGACTTTCTGAACTCCGTGATAGTAGATATGCAACGTAAGAATGAGACTCTACTATGTAAAATCGAGGTCCTCGAGATGGGAGTCCCCGCGAACGAAGCCGACGACTACAGCCGGTACGCGCTAAAACTTTATGTCTACGAAATATATACAGTTTCTCTCTCAAATTATAGCATAATAATTTGGAATTTGTGCTTGATAGAAGCACTTTGGACAAACGAATGGCGGTTCCTCGTATGTTCTGTGATATTTGCGATCAGTTCGATCTGCACGAAACAGAGGACTGTCCTCGACAAGCACAGGATTTCTCGGAGAGCACCGAGAAAGTGCCGAAATCATCGAAAAAGCAATCGGTGGAAAGACCGTACTGCGAAAACTGCGAAAGTAAGATCTATCGTCTGTATAATCGTTAAATTATATAAATCGGAAAGTAAAATATATTTAAGAGAAAATATAAGTTAGAATATATAAAGTTATCAAGTATTACAATTTAAGTCAAAATTAACATTTCTTTGGCGCTTTAATTTCTATTTAATTGTAATTAAATTTAAATTAAATAAGAGATTTAATTTTAGTCGCAATTAAATTTGATCAAGATGTTATTAGAGTCTTTTCTGTACTTATATGGTCTCAATTTCCATAATTATCTCTTCTTTCGAAGATTTTATCAATAATTCTCGCTAATATATTTCTTTTTTTTTATTGCAGTGTTTGGACACGACACGCGCGACTGCGACGACACCGAAACATTTTAACGTTACGTTACTCTCTGTAGACCCGTTCCATTGCTTGCCAAGTATCCCGTAGCGGTAAAGAGATCTGTTAGACTTTACAGAGTATATTTTTGTATGGCGAACTTTTCTCAATTGGATCCGAATAAGTCTTCCCGCATAGGACGGCTACATCAGTAACTTTCCGACACATTATAAAAATTTATGTTCCCTTCAAACGACGCAATTTCCACATTGGAATGTTTTTTTTTTTATTAAAATTTGGGAAATCTAATTATTATCGTATTATTCGTTCTCAATCGAGTTAGATCTCACTTCTTGACAGAACTTAATAATAATGATAATTATTTCCTGTTTAAAAATTCATTTGAAGGGAACATAATTTGTTTTCCAGCTTTAATACCCGTTTTGTAACATCGAGACAAATTATGTGTAACTTTGTATATACTAGGTACTCGAATTAACATGTTAACTCTATTTAATATTTATTTTCCGCGTTTTGTGCGGCTTTAAAGGGATAGTTCCTGTAGTGCCGACTGGCGAAAAGCGCAATTTACGACGCAAGATCCCGTGATTGATTGATTGATTGGCGCTTCTAACTCGAACTCGAATATATTCGGCTTTCCATTTTACAGTCTTCGTCTAATAGGCAAAGAAAAGAACTAGCAATGCATGCGTCTCAAACGTTTAGCGCTTAATGTCGACTTTTACGAATACAGTGACCTGCTATTGTCTTGCCTTTTCGCTACGAAACGTAGGATCGAGGTCGATATATTTTCTAAATCAATTGTATTGTTGTAATATGTGATGCCTAGGAATCACAAATAATGCTTTATAGATAAGAATAAACGAAGTCTTCAGCAGCAGCTACAAAGAAAAATGGAATCTTTCAACGATTCTACTTGAAGCAGCAAACTCTCCGACAAATGGCGTTATTGCCAAAAGGGAAACGTTCTGCGAGAAAAAATAAAGATTATATTAAAATTATATATTGATATATATATACTTTATTTATCACACGTATGTTATATAACACATTTCTGCAAATCACAAACAAATTAATAGCTTTTTAAAGTCTCGTAAATCTATAATAAAAAATAAGTGACTCATGTTCGCTCAGATCGCTTTTGGTATAATCAAAGAATTAATTTTTAAAGTTGGACCACTAAAAAAGACGTATTAAAATGGTACACCTAAGATTAGAAGTAAATTTTATTTATAAAATGTATTGTATGATATACGTGTGTAATCGCCGAGTACTTATCCGCTTGTTAACATAATTAAGAACAAAAACTTAAATCAAAACAGGTGTTGAAATAAAGATGTGTTGATCAGCTTCGAACTAAGACCATTCTTATAACTGAGATTCTGGGAATAATTTTTGGAGACAGAAAGAGAGCGAGAGAAAACGCACAAGGTATATAGATATATACAATACAATTTTTATATATATTATAATAAAATTTTGCGTCCTTGTTACACATATGTACTTTTCATCATAAGATACAATCCAACATCCATTTTTTTATCAAAATATTAAATATAATTTATAAACTACAATACAACTTGTAATTTAATTTTGAACATAGAATTTCAAATAATAACAATAGATTTTCTCTTATTCAAGGGTTAAATAAATTTATCCCGTTATCGTGTGCTTTCTCTTGACAAGTGTTTGATGAAAGATGCATTCTTC